CATTCGTTTATTTATTTATTTATTTATTCATTCATTCACTCATTCATTCATGCATGCATTCATTCATTCATTTACTCATTCTTTGATTCATTCATTCATTGATTCATTGATTCATTCATTCATTCATTCATTTATTCACCCATTCATTCATTCATTCATTCGTTCGTTCGTTCATTCATTAATTCATTCATTCAGATGGCTGTTTCCAACATACACATGTGCATGCTGCGTAGTCGTCAGATTATGAACAGCTTTCATTCTTAGGGCCCATATTTCACGATATAAGTCAGCATTGAGAGCAAAAACTGATAGAAATCTTTCCGTTTTGGCAGTTTTCAGGATAACAGCCTTTTCAGTCTTCCATATCATAAAATGTCTGGCATAAATTTCGGAATTTCATTCCAGACCCAGCAGTGACCTGTCACAAACTGACATGGTTTCTGTTTCCGCCCGTTTACTTAAACTGTACCAAAGGCGTGGGATCTTTAGTGAAAACTGGTATAGAAAACCGACCCACGCAGAACTACATTGGGAGATATTAGATTCTGCGTTAACCGAACCAAAATGATGACAGTGGCTCAAAGTTACGTCATTTCGTTTTGGAAAAATAGCCCCATCTTAATCGAAAGACAAGAATGGTCACAGCTTGCACGAAAAAATCTCTGCTAGCATGGCAAGTGGCAATGTGAGAAATTTCGCAAAACCTAACCGTGTCAAATCACTATTCTAGCCGCAGCCATGGAAAAACAAATTTGCACCATCAAAGAGGCGGACCCTAGTTTACTGAGACGTTCGAGATGTGGTGTTAAAGACTCCTAATAAGACTATCTTAAAAGTAACTTGTTTAGAAGCGAAGACCATGATATGTTCAATACATTATGAGAAGGAACGACTTTTGAGACAAAATGGAGCTATAAGGCTCGATTACTATATTATAAATCTAGGATCATGTTGGAAGAAGGCAGTTATAAGTTGGGTACAATTATTTATCATTCACAGCATGGGTATTGCACAAAAATGGGTGCATATTCAACCTGATCAGGGACTATATCGATGAACCTTCTGTATTGTAGGACTATTGGCAGCTGGTCAGTATACACTTAGCGAAGTATGAGCCAACACTACAAGTGTCGACTAGTCTTGAGAAGAGTAATGACATGTATTTACACTATGGAAAATGATTTTTCTCAGGCTTTAGTAAGGCGGAAGACATCTGTTCCTGATATAACATGTTAAGCAACATGGAAATCTGTTTCTTCACGTAAACCGGACTGAAACCTGAGGCATTCTGAATTTCGGTTCCGGTCAGATCACTCGCCATTCTTTCTTTCGATGTTCATAAATGAGTAGGAAGGAAACGTGAAAGTACATGTTATGCTTGCCACATTGCTGCGATAAAAAATAAAAAATTTTTTATCGTTAGAATATTGCTCATCCAGGCACCATCTGGTTGGAGCCATTCTGGCGCCCTTCGGTTCATGAAATTAATGATGTGACGCCAATCTCCACTTCCGTGTCATGAACAAGAATGCCTGACTTTAAAGACGGAGTCGAAAACAGCGATATGGCACGCATATATACTTATTTGCGCCTCATGGCTGTGCACTCTGCCTCAAAAATAAAGTATTCCTGGTTGATGGTCATTAAAAAAATGATACGTGCCGTGTCTTAAACGGTATGAAAGGAAGGACACTACAATTGGAGCTGAATCATCGAAGTGCTAAAGACGATTATAAACTTTCTTTACTTTTGCTTTCCTCTTCCGTCCGTCATGCACAGAAATCGCTGTTCTCGGTGGCAACCGGCGTACAACGTCATGAGACGATTTCAACATTACTTTCTTCAGAAAATAACGCAGAGAACCGAATTCAGTTATGCAACACCTCT